GAACAATAATAAGTATGCATAAATTACAGTAATGTGATTTAAAGTGGTATGGAAAAATCACTATTTTACAGTTTTGTATTTCCTTGTTAATCTGTTAAAAATTCAGAATACTTCCACATTCAAATAATTTACTCTGCAATCCAAAGCATAGCCCATGAAAAAGCACCTACATAGCTTTCAAAATATATAGATTACAGTTAGTTTATTGTTTTTACAACTGTGTATATGCATAGTACAATAGCGTCATCACACTTGATGTTCTACAGAGAAAAACATGTTAACTGACTTTGTGTAGAAATTTGAAATATACTGCAATAAATACACAGTTCCGACCAATGAATCTGATTTTAAGGTCTGCTGTTACTCCGTATGTAAGATATGCTAAAGTTACTAGCAATGTAGTACTATGAACAATTATAAATGATGGGAAACAATTTTAAGACGAATTCATATGGACTACTGAAAAACTGACCAACAGAGTAATACAGAGGTCTGAACCCAGCAGCACTCATAACATACCTGAGCCAGATAATGATCAGCTGTCAAACAATTAATACCAGACTCAGATGTGCTGGTAGCTGGAATAGAGCCAAGCTGTGGACATTTTATGTGGACATATGTGGACACAGGAAACAGGACACAGATAACTCGATGTGCATATGTCCATGCCATAATGCCTTAACACTAACATTACTGATATCACACTGCTAATGCTGTTACCGATCTTTCCTTTTAGAGTTAAATCCATGATGAGTGAGAGAACTGTCAGATACACAACCCATCGCTTCTTCCTGTTTTTTCTCAGTGTTGGTCTTATTTGTCAGAGATATGAGGAAAATGCATCTGTTGAAAAATCAATTTTAAGACAATAAATGTGAAATTACTTTTGGATCTGCATACACAAGCAGGCTGAATTTAAAGGGGACCTATTATGCTAATTTCCAATGTTCATAATTTTTTTTTTGGGGTCTACTATAATACATTTACATGCTTCAGTGTTCCAGAAACACATTATTTTTCTCATACTGTAAATGTCTACTCACCCTCTGTCTGAAACGCTCTGTTAGAGCTCCTGTGTCTTTAAGCCCCTCCTTCCTGATGAGCCCAGTACGCTCAGATTAGTTAGCTCGCTCACTTGGTTCTGACTGATCAAGTGCCAGAGCGGTTCCGCCAATACATGGCCTCCGGTAGATGCGTTGCGTTGTGTGAGAGCATGCCAAGCTCACTGGTAGGTGGGCAATAAGGATTTTGTTATGGGATTACATCATCTTGTAACAAAGGAAAAGGGCTGGGGAACTCCAGCCCTCAGGCAGCTGAGAAAAGTGGTTTCTGTGGGAAAGAGTTTCTCCCTCTGGCATATACTTTCAGCTTTGTATCTTACACGCACAAAAAGCTACATAACACAGTAAATAAAAGGGAAAGCGTTATATATTCCCTTTATAAGTAGAATATAATGTACAGTATACATAATTTTACTCATCTAAAATCAACTCAGGCATTTAGTACACAAAGAAATGTGACAAGGCTTTAAATAATACCTATGCATGAACTCCAGCGGGCACCCAGCTCACACGCATAGCTGATGTTCAGACAATGATGTTCAGTGTAATGAAAGAAGCATCAGGATGAGGCCACTTGTGTAAGAGCACAAATGAGTGTTGAGAATGATATGGACTGCCATCATACTGGATGAGGCCCAAAGAGAGGATGGTCCTTTAGAAGGATTAAAAACAACAAAGTTGATTAGATAATTCACAGTTCTATTGTTTTCATCCTCTAACATGCCTAAATCAACACGTGACAGAAATGATCATTTGCAGTGAGCTTAGTACTGATATCTGTATCTGTTAAAAGCTGTGTTAAAGGAGAATTACACGATTTTTAAGCACAATTTCATCATTAAGATGCAAAAAAGTAGTTTGATACAAAATGTTCCATTGTGGAAAAACAGAGTCAGAGTTGTTCATAGTGGCAGTGACAAGAACCAGACGTTTGAAGAGCTCAATGCCTCTAATCTCTCTCACAGAGAATTATTACATGAAATGATTATTAATAAGAGCTAAACTCTATTAGATCATGTTTACCACATGCTGTATGCTATAAATTGTAGCCCTCTGAGACTTGCAGTATTACACATTAAAGCACTGTGAAGAAGTAAATTCATAAATATTGATACAGTGTTGGTGATATTGCCATATCGATATTTTGAACACAGCTGTAGTGGCAAATAACATATTAATAAATTGAATGAACAAAGCGCAGATATTTGAGTACTCTAACCCAGCTTTACCTAAACATTCTGCTCTTTAGTATTACAATAAATACTTCATGAAATATATTTGTTTGGAACACCCACCAAATCTAAACATCTGTCTGACATTCATATAGTTTTATTTAAAAAATTAAAACTTGAGTCTCACCAGTTGCTCAGCTTCAGATGATTTCTGATGAGAAACATCTAAAACAAAACAGACACATGAGGTAAATGCAGCAAAACAATAACAGCAAAGCATAACAATGAACTTAAACACAAAACAAACTGGTCATTATATATTACTAATAAATGTAGCTAAGTAAAACATAGATTATTAATATAAACCACAAATAATATATTTTAAAAATACTCTAGAAAGTACAAATCCACCAAGATGTTACTAGAGTAAATGTAACTGAGCAAATTAAGATCATTACTACCCTCTCTGAACTACACAGACTGACGGACTGTGTTCAGTTTCATTGTTGTATTGTTCAGTGTGCTGACCCTGCTGCGCTGTGATCAGTCTTATGTTTATTTCTGAGGCAGTCTTTCATTTGGAGCGGTGCTAAGCGACATCTGACGCACCCGCGAGGCGCAGACACGCCGCTTAGCCGCTAGCTAGCTAACTACATACGCAAACCTAACGCTGGTGTCTTCACTCGGCAGATCCACCCAGAAATAACGTTACAGAAATAAAAGTGTACTCCGGCTGACTGTTAGTGAGGATACTCATCTCATTTAGTCACTACTCACCTTTTAAAAGCAGATTCTGACCGTTGCAGTCGTAACTCCAGTCGCCACTCCGCTCGGTCCAGTCAGTTATCGTCAGTCAGCTACGCAGCTGAAAATCCTCGTTTCTGGGAGCTGAAAGCGTCACCCGGCAGGCGGCGCTGTCTCAGTAAAGAGTGTAAGAGAGTCTTATCGAGGTTTAACACTCGCTAAACAAACTCGATAAACTGCCTGCGTTAGCAACCCGAGAGACTCGCTCACTGTAAACGGCTGTAACGGTCGCGCTTGGCTTTAAACGGAGGAACGGCGCTCGTGCTTCAAACCCGAACGTACAAGAGGCGGAGTCGCGCGCTCTGATTGGTCTGAAACTCCCGCAAGTCTTTTGTTTGTCCTCGCATAGAGCTTTTTTTCCGTTTCGCGTCTCTGCTGTACTGAATGAACTGTGCTGTTTTCTTTTTGTTTGTTTGTTTGTTTTAATCTAGACACAGAGTAGGAAACTGCAAACTCTTGAAATACATAAGACAGCTGTACAGGATTATTATACAGCATCACTGGAGGCCATGTCTTAATATACTAAAGTCAAAGTATGAAGCTGGACATTTAAACAAAAATCTGTTTATTATGTAATTTTACGTGGTGAAACAATATAGGTCTATATATTACTACTCAAATACATTTGTTTATTATTGTTCATGTTTTCCAAATACCTGGAGATTTTTAAACCAAGTGCTTTTTCTGCATTAAGTTTTGGGGTATGTGATCTCTAAAGTACCCAGCTTAGCTGTTGAGTACATTTACTTCCTATTAGTTCAAAGTTGTTTTATCTTGGTTCCTAGCTTGTTGTATCTGGTTACAATTGTACATTTGAAAATAGATCAATGTTGTTTTAATCATAGCATGTTTTCTGCAAATGAGCAAAAGGCTGTGACTGACTGTGATTGTAACATTTACCAGTGGAGATAAATTAAAAGTTATTCTACCATGAACTTCAATGATATAAGGAAATGAGTTTAAACATTTTAAGGTAAGGTAAATGGTTTAAGAATTGAATTTTTCTTTTGCTGTTTTGCTATTGTAAACACATTTCTGCAATAATCAAAAAACAAAACATACAGAATCACAAAAGTACAGCAAGTAAAAACTTAGTGAATGTTCTTTTAGTAATATCACACAAAACTCATAAGATTACAGCAGGCCGTTTCTTGAGGACATTCTTGTTATATTTTCATTATATTTTACATTAGGCAGTGCTGTGGTAATCCTGGTAATCCTCAGTAGTAATTTTCAGTTTGGCAGTATCACAGGAATACCACACTCATACCACAGGACTTTTTGCAATGGACCACTCTTTGGACTCAACTGAACTGTCTTAAGACACAACATCTCTATGTCTTAAGACAAAGTGATGTCTTAAGTCATGCCTCATCTTTAAGACACACAAAATTATTACTTCTTTGTCTTAAGACATTTACTTTCATGTCTCAAGACAAAGACAGTGTCTTCAGTCATACGTCTTAAGACGTTCTTGAGATGTCTTGGCATAAAAAAATGTCTCAAGACATCTTATAAATACTGTCAAGACATCTTAAGACACAGTGACAGCTGGGTATGTAAACGGCCCAAATTCTACATTTTTCTTGTTTTTTATTCTACATTTTTCTTGTTTTTTTTATTTTTCTTCTGAGCTTCACTTATAATGTTTGTGTGTTTTATGTATCAAAAACAGTCATCATTCATTTTTCAGTGATCATTTTTGAGCCTCTCTTTATCCTTTTGAAATAAACAGGCTGTTTTTGCTTCTGTGCTTTTAATCTTCATATAAATGAGCTCTGCTCTGATTGGCTGCACTGTATTGTGCTTCATTCAAAAAGCAGTCCAGGCTGAAACACTCTTATAACTTCAGTGTGTGTGGGCGGGGCTAAACTGCTGTAGGCTGAATAGGTGGATGTATGTAAATGTGTAGGTTTTCATGACATCACAGAAAAAACAAATTCAAAAAGGGCTGTTTTTGCAGCTTAGTTTCCAGTGACTGAATGGTCTGGGAGCGACTCTGACAGTGTTCAAACACCACATCCAGCTCTTATTTAAAAAGAGTGAAGAACATTCAGCTCTCCATGATTTGGGCCCTTTAATAGAACACTTAACGGTGAGTGAACTTCCATTCACTGTGACTCTGACAAAACATCTATAACATTTTTCTGACAGTCACAGTTTCTCTAAATTGCCTTTTGTGTTGCGTCTCTTGGAACTTGTGGAAGCTGCTTCTCAGGCTGGAACTGGTCCTTCTCGGTCACCAGAGGGTTAGTTGTGACCAGAACATCTGTCTCAGCAATGTTCCAGAAACAGAAATAAAATTCAGAAATGTGGTTCCAACCATGATCTGATTTGCTGCGTTAGACGCTGTTCTTGTGGTTGTAGTTGGTCTTTTTCGTTTGCCATCTGTAGATATATAATTATGAGAATCAATGTGGAAGTTTCAGAAAAAAGACTATAAATGAAAACATCAGTTAATCTTGTTTTCATTCACAGTGAATATTCATCTTTAAATACCCTGCATCTCCATATTAATGCTCCTTATAGCAAATAAACACAGATGGGTTTTTCCCACTACTGTGGTTCATTTTGGGCTAACATGGACAACATTCATCAAGTCTCCAGAGAGAGTCGTCTTCCAGAGCAGCATCAACACTGAACCATATAAACAAAGCATAACAGATCATTTTTAGTTCTAGAACCAGAGAAACAACAGAAAACCATTTAAAAATTTGCACATCAACATGTCCTCACATATTACACTGACCAGACACTTCATTAAGTCCACCTCCTTGTTTCTACACTCTGTCCACTTTGTCAGCTCCACTGACCACATAGTTTCACTCTGTAGTTCTACAGTTACAGACTGTAGTCCATCTGTTTCTCTGATACTTTGTCACCCTGAGTGCAGAAACAAGGAGGTGGACTTAATGAAGTGGCTGTCCAGTGTCCAGCTAAATGAGAGAGTGATATCATTCATACCAAAAACCTTTCCACTGTATTGAAATTCAGACATGAACACTTTCAGGACATCATGATAGATTTTCTGTCTCCTTTCAGGTTCATGTTTAGTTATTAGTTCCTCTGTGATCCAAAAGAAAATCTCCCTTATCAGAATGGACACAGCTGAATACTCCACAGTCTACGAGAGAAAACAGAGAACATGCTGACCACATCAAACCACATTAACCTCAAACAAATAAATACATACAGCCAATTAAATATGAATATTAAATTACCTTTTTCTGGATTTATATATTTCACACAAAACCCATCTTTGTCTTTATAAACAGGTGTAACATTTGCTGCCTCTTCTTCTGGATTCAGTTCTCTTTCTCAGCTCCATGGCAGCCATTTTCCATGATGGCTCCACTCTTTATAGAAAAATAAGAGTTTTATTTTGTTCTTTTCATATATGAAATATTTTAGTCTCTTTATTTGATTGACTGTTGCTAAAAGGAGCTTAAGACAGTCTTATTACAGCTGAAGTCTCACTTTTATTTTTGAACTAGCTGTGAGTTTCTGAATGTGACGACTAAACTAGCACAAATCGAATCAGCTGAAAGGTCCTTGTAAACTACAAAAACCAACACGCTCACACAAACACTTACACACACACACACACACACACACACACACACACATACACACACACTGTCTCACACACACACACACTCGCTCTAATGTGTCTTCTTGTGTGCAGATTCCTGTGAGTTCACTCTGGATCCAAACACAGCGCACAGTTCTCTCTTTCTGTCTGACGGGAACAGAAAGGTGGAGAATGTAGGATCTTCACAGTCGTATCCTGATCATCCAGAGAGATTTGATTCATACAGTCAGGTTCTGTGTAGAGAGAGTCTGACTGGACGCTGTTACTGGGAGGCTGAGTGGAGCGGAAGTGTTTATATAGCAGTAACATATAAATCAATTAGCAGGAAAGGATACAGTGCTAACTGTCTGTTTGGAGGGAATGTAAAGTCCTGGATTCTGATCTGCTCTAATAACAGATACTCTGTCTGGCACAATAAAAACAAGACTGATCTCTCTGCTCGTCCCTCCAGCTCTGAGACAGTAGGAGTGTATGTGGACTGTCCAGCTGGCTCTCTGTCCTTCTACAGAGTCTCCTCTGATACACATACACTGACACACCTACACACTTTCAAAACCACATTCACTGAACCGCTCTGCGCTGGGTTTTATGTTTATTCTGGCTCCTCAGTGTGTTTAAAATAAAATAACCTCCTGAGTGAAAATCACACAACACACACACACACACACAGAACAAACACACACACTCTCTCTGTCTGTCTCTCTGTCTCTCTCTCTGTCTCTCTCTCTCTGTCTGTCTCTCTCTCTCTCTCTCTCTGTCTTTTCTCTCTCTCTCTCTCTCTTTCTGTCTGTCTCTCTCTCTTTCTCTTTATTACTCTTTTCTGTATTCGACTCTTGTATTTTTCACTCTGAGCTCTGTTTATAGTGTTTGTGTGGTTTTATGTATAAACAGTAATTATTCATTTTTATATGATCATTTTTTTATCTTTTTTTTATTCTTTATAATTAAACAGTCTGTATTTTTTCTGTGCCTTTAAGACTGATATATGTAAATGAGCTGTGTTCTGATTGGCTGTGCTGTATTGTGCCTCATTTATAAAGCAGTTCAGTCTGTGTTTCTCTGGTTTGGAGGTGATTCAGATGGAGATGATGTACAGAATCAGTGGAAGATCAATAAAGAACTGATTAAACTCACATAATCCTGATCATTAAAAAAATGATTTATTTACACCTGAATAGACGAAACAAACTGAGCTTAAAGTGAAACTGAAAGGAGGAAAACAGTTTAGCATAGAGCTAACAAGCTATTTCACAGCTAGCAGGTTAGCATAGAGCTAACAAGCTATTTCACAGTTAGTGTGTTAGCATAGAGCTAACAAGCTATTTCACAGCTACCGGGTTAGCAAAGAGCTAACAAGCTATTTCACAGCTAACAGGTTAGCATAGAGCTAACAAGCTATTTCACAGCTAACAGGTTAGCATAGAGCTAACAAGCTATTTCACAGTTAGTGTGTTAGCAAAGAGCTAACAAGCTATTTCACAGCTACTGGGTTAACAAAGAGCTAACAAGCTATTTCACAGCTAGCAGGTTAACATAGAGCTAACAAGCCATTTCACAGTTAGTGTGTTAGCATATAGCTAACAAGCTATTTCACAGCTAACAGGTTAGCATAGAGCTAACAAGCTATTTCACAGCTAGCAGGTTAGTGTAGAGCTAACAAGCTATTACAGAGCTAACGGGTTAGCATAGAGCTAACAAGCTATTTCACAGCTAACAGGTTAGCATAGAGCTAACAAGCTATTTCACAGTTAGTGTGTTAGCAAAGAGCTAACAAGCTATTTCACAGCTACTGGGTTAACAAAGAGCTAACAAGCTATTTCACAGCTAGCAGGTTAACATAGAGCTAACAAGCCATTTCACAGTTAGTGTGTTAGCATATAGCTAACAAGCTATTTCACAGCTAACAGGTTAGCATAGAGCTAACAAGCTATTTCACAGCTAGCAGGTTAGTGTAGAGCTAACAAGCTATTACAGAGCTAACGGGTTAGCATAGAGCTAACAAGCTATTTCACAGCTAACGGATTAGCGTAGAGCCAACAAGCTATCACAAAGCTAACAGGTTAGCGTAGAGCTAACAAGCTATTTAACAGCTATCGGGTTAGTGTAGAGCTAACAAGCTATTTCACAGCTAGCAGGTTAGCATAGCGCTAACAAGCTATTTCACAGCTAGCGGGTTAAGATATAGCTAGCAAGCTGTTTCACAGCTAGCGAGTTAATATATAGCTAGCAAGCTGTTTCACAGCTAGCGAGTTAATATATAGCTAGCAAGCTGTTTCACAGCTAGCGGGTTAATATATAGCTAACAAGTTGTTTCGCAGCTAGGGGGTTAAGATATAGCTAACAAGTTATTTCACAGCTAGCGGGATTATCTTGTTAGCTCGTTAGCTCATTAGCCCTTTAGCGGTTCCCCTGTCCAACTCTGAATATTACTGGATTAGCTCGTTAGCCCATTAGCAGTTCCTCTGTCTAACTCTGAACTTTGCTGGATTAGCTCGTTAGCTGTTAGCGGTTCCTCTGTCTAACTCTCAATATTACTGGATTAGGTTGTTAGCGGTTCCTCTGTCTAACTCTCAATATTACTGGATTAGCTCGTTAGCAGTTCCTCTGCCTTAATATGAACGTTACTGGATTAGCTCGTTAGCGGTTTCTCTGTCTAACTCTGAATATTACTGGATTAGCCTGTTAGCCTGTTAGCAGTTCCTCTGTCAAACTCTCAGTATTACTGCATTAGCTCATTAGCCCATTAGCGGTTCCTCTGTCAAACTCTGAATATTACTGGATTAGCTCATTAGCCCGTTAGCAGTTCCTATGTCTGACTATGAATATTACTGGATTAGCTCATTAGCCCGTTAGCGATTCCTCTGTCTAACTCTGTGAATATTACTGGATTAGCTCATTAGCCCATTAGCAGTTCCCCTGTCTAACTCTGAATATTACTGGATTAGCTCATTAGCCCATTAGCGGTTCCCCTGTCTAACTCTGAATATTACTGGATTAGCCCGTTAGCATTTCCCCAGTCTAACTCTCAAGTTAAGAAATCTTAACTTACTCGATCTAAGTCAACAATCAGCTGTCACGTCTGTTACCTAGTAATCGATCATTCGTGCACAGCTGAAACGTAAACAAATAATCAAAGTAATCAAGCTAGTTAGCCAGACAGCTAACTAACGTTAGCTACGGTTACCGATTTAAAAAGGTTTAAACAAAACTAAAGCGCTATAAACTTCATGTTTATAATGTTATGACTGTTTATCAGAGCATTGCAGTCTCCACTTTCAGTTTCATTTTCCAAACGCTTTAGCCGAGCGTGCTAACATTATTCCTTCTAATGAACAGACACACGTTCAGCTCTGTCTCCTCATTATTCACGACCATCACTGTAATATTTCATCTGACAAATTTTTCTCAATAATAACACACAAAGGAAATAAGAGAGTATGGTGGAGATCAAGTCTGCAGCATCTGGGCTTTTAAAACGCTTTTAGAAAAATAACCCTCACAAGTCAAACCACCATTTTCACTGTAGATAAATGTAGCATCTTTATGCTGGTTATAGTGATCTTTGGGCCCTCAGGCGGCACTGCATTAAAAACAAGCATGATTCTGTAGTGGTAATCACTGCATGGGCTCAGAAACACTTCTGAAGAACACTGAGAAACCACATATGAAAAGGATCCAGAAACACCACCGCCTTCTCTGGGCCTGAGCTCATTTAAGATTGACAAAGGGGAAGTGGAAAAGTGTCCTGTGGTCCAATGAATCAACATTTGCAGTTCTTTTTGGAAATCATGGACACTGTGTCCTCAGGGTTAAAGACCACTTAGCTTGTTTTCAATGCACAGTTCAGAAGCCAGTATTTATGATGGTATAGGGGTGCATTAGTGCACATGGTATGGGTGACGTGCACATCTGTGAAGGCACCATTAATGCTGAATGACATATGCATGTTTTGGCAACATATGCTGCCATCCAGACAACGTCT